CGACCGTCACATGACGCGGCACAGCTTGATCTTGGCCTTTCACACTAACTGTGAGAACTTTCCTTTCTCGTTATTTCCTCGTATATATAGTACACTAAGTATATATGTTATATATGTTCATATCTGAACATTACAATAGTGATCTTCTGTAATGTATGCCAACTGTTGCTTTAATATGTTCCAGATTTGCTTCTAGGACGAAAATGAAAGTGGGCCGAGCCTTTAGTTTCAATAAGACTCCTAGCAAGTTGAAACGAGCAGTTTCAACAATGATGAGTCCATTTGGTAGTACAACAAACCTTACCCCAGCCTCACAACTTGCGCAGATGAGGCTTGCCAGCTGCAATAACCTTAATGTAAGCAGAGCCGCTCTTTATATTTTCAGCGTTCAATTAATGTTAATATGTCTTAAAAATTAATGTCGTCAGGTACTACCAGTGAATTGTTTTTGCTTGTCTGTGTCACATAGCATGGCTTTTGTTTCTTTTTTAATTCTTTGGTTTCTTTTTATTTTATTAGAGAAGATTTAATTGCTATTATTCAAAAATCTCTTGCCACCTTTATTTGCTTGATATTTTAAGTAGTGTGATTGAATTTACTGTTACTGTTCACTGCCTAGCTAGATCCCACCACTAACCCCAGTAAATATCAAAAAGGAGTTCACTATACTGGATTTAAGCTATTCAGTAATCTTGACCCCCACTATAAAAAGTCTGAGTCATGACACAAAAGAGTTTAAGCCAACACTGAAAGTGTCTCCTATCTTACTCTTACTTGTTGCTAATGTTGTCAATCCAGTTAGTGTGAGGAAAGAATTCCTTGCACCAGTACAGTAGGCCAAGTTCAAAACACCAGATATGCTGCAACAAGTATGTAGATTATTTAAGATTTCAGGTTTATACTTCCCAGCAGACAGAAATATCATTAGACATATTTTATGAAAATTATGTCTACCATACTACCTTCTGCTGATTACGTGTTCTTAAAAGTGAATAGTTCACTTTCTGCACTCTTTCATAATGAGATTTCTAAATGTCAAAATTAACTTCTCTGAATGCAAAGTAAATTATGAGTTTTCACATTTAGCATAGAAATGGATTTCTCTGAGTTAATGAAAGATAAAAAGTGCCAGATATCTTATTAATGATGTGCTGGTTGAAAATTAAGTACAGATATTACAACTTAATTGACACCACTCAGCAGAAAAGTATCAACCGGCCTACAATGAACTTCATACTTTCCAAAGGGTCAAACACACTGACAAGGTAGCACATTGATGTTCTGTATTGGTGGACCCTGTGGTCTGTGGATTGCGTCAGGATAGTGTTCTGTTGCACTTCAATCTGTGTCAGACAGGTCTAAGTGAAGAAATTCATAATTACTTCAGATTTATGTTCTTTATTTAAATGCTTCAGCAGACTAGGTTAGAAACTTTGCACATAACCTTGAACTCTAGAAGTCAAGTCAGAAGATAGGAGAAACTGAATCAAATTGCATACATTAGAATTAAAACTATTTGGATGAATCCTCTGTTAAGTGTATAAGTTGTTTTAATGTCTAAAATAATATATCAGTTTTATTGTGAACAGAAATGTTCCTCTATCTTCTCACTAGATTCCTAAGATACTGTCAAGACAGTAATAGCACTGCTCCAGACGTCGTGAAACATCACAGCACAATTCCACAACAGTGCTATGTAACTAGCACGAGATATGCTATAGTAAAAACTTTATAACTATATAGGCCTTTGATCTTAATCAAATTTATACAATATAATAACGATATTGTCAATGCTGATGGTGGGCAAAATAAGTCACGGAAAGCATTTTGAGGGCTCATATGCCAGGATCAATCTGACATCTTTCTATAAATTTATTGAAGAACAAAATGAGTAAAGTATATTTACATTTTGTACCAACATCAAAATAATTTTGGCAGACACATGATCAGTTTGCATAGCTAAATGTTTATATGCTCATAACAAGGAGAAGTGTAAGTCTTAGGTTTCTTTATTAATCCCTGGTTCCATGTTCATAAATTTAGCAATAGACTGATAAGAAGTAGATAAAGTTAAAACATGAAGTATATATGAAAGGAAAGATTTGAGCAGTAATAAAAAATACAGTAACATCTGTCTGTGAAGTCTAGATTCTACCGTCGCCACTAAAATCACGGGCCCCATGGTGACAAGTTGTAAGGAACATCTGCCTACAACATTTGTTGGATGAGTAACAAACTACGGGACATTTCTGTTGACAACTATGGATATGTCTTGCGCAAACTAAGATCCTGGGCCCCGTGCTTTTGAGTGATGCAGTTGAAGCTAAGTAAAATGGGATCCTTTTGATTGTACAAATTGAGATTTAAGAGATGAAAGGAATCAATCTGGTAAATTGACTATAAGTTTATACCTGCCGTAATTGACTAACACCACGCGAATGTATGTATGATGCCACATATAAAGGTTTATCTTGACACAGCCATAACTTACCTCTCTGATTGCATTCATAACAGTATTGGTCCACTTCACAGGTGCAGTGCACCTCTACCTGTAACACATGCACCCAGGGAATGGTGCAATTAAAGCCCTGACACGCGCACACACAAAATCGCACATCCGAATTTTAGACCTATTACTAACATTATTGCATTTATTTTCGCATGTGAAACTTTTGGGCATGTGTGTGCAGGGTTCAACAAAATGCAGATCACAAGGATCAGCAGCTATCCCTTCGTTTCACAGAAGAGAGTTGCAGAACAATTGATGATCTAATCCATGACCCATCAGCTTCCTTTGTCATCAGCTGATTCTTCAGACTCCCTGTGAACCAAAACATGTACCAATGTGGCATCGCTTGATCGTCTTCTCCGAAGTCTAGCACGTCGCCGTTCAGGTGATGATTTGGCCATGGTTCTGCTGGTGCAAGTCTCTGAGGGGGGCAAAGAGAGTCCAGTGCCTGGTCTTACACGAACTGGGTGCATGTCCACAGGACCTGTGATAGCTTCAGACGGTGGTTTCCGTGGAACCGCACCGGTGTCTTTGCCATTCCCCAGCGGCATAGGAAACAAGGAAAGCACAGTCCCTACTGGTCGCAGCAGTCCCAGTGGATGCCTGTCCAAGGCTGCAGCGGCCGTCACTGATGATAAAGTTGTTTCTAAGCTCATCATGGTCCTACCCTTGTCAGACTCCTGGGTTCTGTTACCCGTCTGAAAGGCATTAATGCTATCCCCACTGGTATCGTCAGGTCTTTGTTCCTCAGTGGTTGCATCTGGCGAGGCTTGTGTAACTAAAATGCTCACATCACCACTGTGCAATGGTTCTTGCAACTTGTCCTTCACACCAACTGGCAGGACTAGGCTACTGTTCGGTTTTGCTTCGTCTGCGAAAACGGGTCCCGTGTCGGGTGACGGTTCACTCACCATGATACACACATTTCCATTGTCAGTGACTTGAGCGGGCACCTCTGGGTCCTCTGTCTGGCTTTGGTGGGCTCCTGACAAGAATAGCAGTGGCAAATTCAGCCACGCTCCCCCTAGTTCTGACAGTTCGCTGGCGTCTGAAGCACGCGAGGATTTGCGAGATGAAGCCCGGCTGCCACGATGAACATGGAGGAATGCTGACAGACGGCTCTGCCATCCACCACCTGGACTTGACGTTTGTGTCATCTCATCCTCCAAGTCCAGTGGCTCCCTCTCCCTCTCTCGTTTCAACCTGTTCGTGAAGCAGAGCAACCTTATTGACACTGTCTTCCTTCTAACTTCATTTAAAATAAGATTTGTACTAGAATGCAGGGAGAGCCAATTACTTCTTACTTGGGGGCTGTATGGGTCTACAGTCACTTGCCAGGTTGTGCGAGACTCAAATTATACAAATGTGACTTATGCAAAAGTTCCAGTAATTCATTATTAACTATTTATTCCTTGATTGTTTATTGTACTCATCAATTTTCATCACGCAAGGAGGACTGATAAGAAATGTAAACATTTGTCAGATTTCTCCACAGTAACACTGCAGGCACTCTGCTAGTTTATATTATTTAGTAAAGTCTATGGCCTTTTTCTGCCCAACTATGAAGCTGTAAGAAGCGTACTGTTTACCTGGACCTAGTACGTTACTGCACAAAGTACATTTCTGCATATGCATTGATAAGCTGGCTTCATGCAAAGTATAATTTTAATTCAGTATCCCAGCTGTCTGTGGTAATCTTGTGGATTGCTGTCACTATGTTGACTTGCAGGTGGGTCCTTAACATTTTGGAGGAACACATTATTGAAGGTGGAGGCAGTATGTTCCTGTCATACACCAATATCCACATAGCAGTCCACATAGTATCACAACACAAAAGATCACCTGCAAGAACCTCAAGTCTCACTGTCACAATTATTTTCTGGAGTGGCAATTTATCTGAGAAATATTTGTTCGTACAGACCACAAAAAACCATCACAGTAATTTAAGTCACACAGGACTTTAGGTACTACATAATTTGCAAAATTTATTTCCTTCACTCATCAAAATTTCTGTGATTTGATGGCTCACCTGATGTACTCTCTGAATGCTGTCTGGATGGTTCTCGCAGCTTTGTCCTGGCGTTTCCAAATGCGTGTAGATGACACTATCTCGAGTTCTTTCCTGGTAGGGAACTGTTTCTTGAACTTGATATCCATTTGGTCTTGGAGCTGCAAACACAGCTGATATGACTCTTCTGCAAATGTCACAGTGACCTGACATCCTAAGAAATGCATCCAATGATGCTGATTCATGTTTCTTTCTACATACACAGTAACACTGCTCCCTACCAAATCCTCTCCAAATGACGGTCAACCTATAAATATACAAGCCTTACAGCAAATGTGTGAATACACACCTTCCTGAAGTCTTCGGTTTCCTCAACGTGTCCCAGTACGTACTTGACGAGCGAGTGTAAGATGTCCAAGCAATGGATCTTGTTTCCACGGGCAATGGGAAGATTGAAGCTCACGAGGGCTACAATATTGGGCTTCGGGATTCCCAGAGGAGGATCAAGGCTGGCAATGAAGTCTGACAGCTGCGTGAAGCGAATGAACTGTGTCGCATGTGGGTCATACCTGCACAGTGGAAATTCCATTTAGTTGCATACTTGTGGGTCATGACTCAACAACAGTCTGTCATGATCTGCTGTGGCTTCCTGATTCCAGTATGTCACCATACTACCACAAACCAATGTTGGACCTACACAGTTCCCTATCAGTAGAACTTGATCCCTGTCCAAACTCTTGTACTCCTAGTTATCAATTCTGCAGGAATCTGTAACAAGCCAAACAGAATAGATCTTGCTCTGATTCACTGAGTACTGCCAGAGTTCTTACTTTGACCAGCGAATGTAGAACATCTCAAGGTCATCTTCCACGATACCGATCTCTTCCTCTTGGTGCGCCTGATTAAAGTTCTCCAGGATGATGGCAATGTACATGTTGATCACAATCATGTAGCTGATGATGATGAAACTGGTGAAGTATGTGATTGCCAACAGTGGGGAACCACAGTCACCATTTGGTTGGTTATTGTATGTTGGGTTACAGTTTGGAGGTTGGATCATCAGTGATTCCAACACGTCATTCCACCCAGCTGATGTCATGAGCCTGCAGTGTGAAGACAGAGTACATGTGTACTGGGAATCACAATGGTCTGCTTGTATGTCGTGATGTGAGGAGTACAAGGATGTAGCTCTGTGAAATTCATGTCACATGATGAGGAAAACTATGAGTCTTACAGATAACCTAATGTTGGTAGGACAGTGAAGTGTACAAGATTGTGACAGTCAGCTTGAACAACATACAACGGTTTTTAGGGAACTCACTTCGAAAGCAACAGTATCTGAGATTAAAAATGAGATGGTGGATAACATTAAAATGGATCCTAGCGAAAAGACTGTGATGTCTGGAGATAGATGGAACTGGCTGAAGATTGTCATGAATTCTAAACTTCAGTAAAGACATAGGTTCTACTACCACATAGTTAAGTTTGCTGCAGAAATATACTGGCCTGATGGCACACACCTGAACAAGAGTTGCATGCTGCGTCCGAACGTCTCAAAGTTGACCATGTCGTCCAGTGCGCCCTGCTGCCTGACGTGCCCAAACACCGACATGCCAATGATAGCATATATGAAAGTGATGAGAGCCAAGAGTGCACCAATGTTGAAGAGAGCTGGCAGTGACACCACCAGTGCAAACAGCAGCTTCCTGATTCCTTTTGCAGCCTGTACCACGCAACACAGAACAAGTTAAGAATAAATGTATAACTAATTTCTAGCTCCTCTAAATATATGTACTTTGTATTTACACCATTTATTCATTTTATGAAATAATTTTAATTGGCTACACAGATTTAAGATTTATTTCAAGATCAAGTCACATGTTTGAGCTTGGAGCTTGCAAACATTGCAAGATTAGGGCTTGAGCTCACCTCAGACTTGCAGACTTGAGCTTGCACTGCAGATACACTCTTCTCTTGATAGTGAAGACAATACAGGAATTAGATTTCTGCATCTTGTCATGAGCAATGCAAAAATTCTGACAAAAATCTGGATTACAAGCTCACCTTTATGAGGCGTAGGATGCGTCCGATACGGAAGACGCGCACAACCCTGAGGAGAGTAGGCGATACTGGGAAGTCAATCATAATGTCCTCCATCAAGATTCCAAGGATGGATGCTACAACCAACAGGAAGTCAAAAAGGTTCCATGGCACTGTGAAGTAGTGGTACCTCAATCCGACGATCTTCACAATTGCCTCTGCAATCATACACGATTACCACTACATCCTATTCTGAGACTGGGTGCATCGCTGCAACTGGGATCAATTTTAATATAATTCTTGGTCTTTCATATGAACTCTTTTCACAATAAAATTTTTTGTAATTCTTTCTTCCCCAAGCACGTTATATATATCAGGCTAATCACAGTCTTCCAGATGAATGTGGTAGCAGAATATTTTATTTTCTATTTATGTTGCTGCGTACTCACAAATGACTACCCAAGATACGTGCGACAGGCCGGACCAGGCAGCACTTTTTTATTACAGTCTCAGTCCTTAAGAAGGGTTTCACAACAGATCTGGCACTTGGAAGGACTCAAAATACAAAGATAAGTTTTAGCTAACTTACAGTTAGGGCTCCAGAAATTCAACTTAAATCTACTACCCATTTGAAAATCCTTTCAACAAACGAATAACAGTGTGCTTAATACAAATAATTTTATACTTGTCACCGGCCTCTGTTAACTCACCTTTGGTGATTAGGTGTCCACATTTGTGGATCACGTATCCAAGTTAGCTACAGACTTACCTAAGCCAAAGACTGTAGTGAAGAATGCATTGCTCACTTCAAGTACGAAGAACACGGCGTGCGGCTGGTTGTAATGCTCAATGCCCATTGTCAGCATGTTGAGGAATATCAAGACAAAGATCGCAATTTCAAACCTGCAACAAGGTAGTATGGGGCTATCAATTGCATGGACAGACAGCTGCTATCATGGTTATTTAGACTCGCTCTTTATAATTAAATATGAAGTTTTCTTCTACGCAGACATTGAAAAGACATCAAAATAAGAAGAATATAAAATTTTATGGTACCAGGAAAGAGATATTCTTTAAAAGTTGGTACTCATATGTGGGGAATGAGGAAAATAATGTAGCAACTTTAGACACGACCAAACCTTCTGGAATTTGAGAGGTCGTAGAACATCGCCAGCACTTGGTTCATGGGTCGTTTGATCACCTTCTGAGGCTTCTTTCTGCCCAGCTTCTTCATTGCTGTGTAATAGTGCTTCTGACTCTCTGTGAGGAACATCTCCAGTACGCCACCCTCATACTGCAAGCACACAAACCTTAAGCTTCGACATGTAGCTTTTGTCTGCCCTACAATACAAAAATTCACAAATGTTTGCTTGTAGTCACCACATGGTACAGACTTGTCATAAAACATGTTGCCTTGTTGACTTGTTGCCAATCTGGGAACCACAAAATTCATAAAAGAGTAAAAAAAATTACAAAGTGGAGACTCACTTGAATTCGTCATCTCTTATTTTCAAGGTGTTTAAATGGGGTGTGAAAACATGTAAAAAAAAGGCCGTGCACAGGAAATGAGCCATAAGATATAACACAACAGATAATGAAAAAATTAAGGATAATTCAAATATTTTAAAAAATAAAATAAAGACAGAAAATGTAAAATCAAAAATATTAGATAAACTTAATATATTTTGAAAGTAACAAAGAAAACCTCAAGAATGGAAGAACTGACAATAAAGATAAAGTGCACATACACAAAACGTCTCAGAAAATAGATACTGCAGTTCAGAAAAGAAAGAAATTTGAAGCTTCACGAAAATAAATGAAAAGCAGCACACAAACCTTTTTCTTGAGCATGTTGAAGTTGTCAATGATAACACCAATGAAGAGGTTAAGTGTGAAGAAGGAGCCACACACGATGAAGACAACAAAGTACAAGTAAGCGTAGAGATTTGCTTCTCTCTGAGGCTGAAGGTTCACCCCTCGTGCATCTACTGCGTCAGCCATCACTTCCATCCAACCCTCAAATGTAGCCTGTGTGAAGACACTTTTTTAATTCATGGTCTGAGGGAGGAGGGGGGTATCATGATCATGAATCAGAGTGGAGTAGACCTGCTGTATCTTCGAGACACCACACTGTATGATCTACTGAATTCTGGTCACCTCCATTTTATACATATCAGAACAGAGTCCAAATGTGGTCCGCATTGAACTTTTCTAGTGCCTAAATGGTTCACAAAATCCTTTTAATGTCTTGTATTTGTAACTGTTCACATTCCGTGCATGTAATCACACAATGCAAAACTTACAGCTTAAAAACTATTTCCTGTAATGTGTAATTCATGTCATATTAAATAAATACAACATTATACATTATGACTTTGTTAACAGAGGTACCAATTTTGATAAAATGTGCATACTCACCACTTGAAACAATGCCAAATAAGCATTTCCGACATTATCAAATGTTATTTTAGAATTCACCCACGAATAATTTTTATGTTCACATTCATCCACACCGTCCACATCCTGGAAAATTAACATGGAAGGTATTACAGTGTCATGTTTTCAACATGTGTACATGGTTTGAACAATATGAGGACAGTGTCCCTGCACATGCCATAAGAAGTGTCTCAGATGCTAAACTTTTTATACCTGGTAGCTTGTGAAAATTTATTTTATGCATTCTTAGAATGCTATATAAATAATAAATTTGATAGTTCTTGATACAGTGTCTTTCCTGAGCAATCAGTTTTGTCATCATGTAAAGAACACAAAAGTTTATCACCATAAAGGCCATACGAGATGCCTATATCTGGACTGCTCTTAAATTGGAGCATCTTGAAGGACGGCAGTATTAGACATTTACAGTCCCTTATCAGACCAGGTAATATAAATTCCCTTCGTCCCACTACATTGAGCGCACCTGGGCACTTTTAAACTTAGTACATTCTGCTGCATAGAGCAAGGTGCAGTGAGAGTACTTACAGCGACAGGCAGAAGGTTGCCATCCGCATCCACACACTTAAAAAACTTTCCGCCAAAGAACTGGACACCCATGATGGAGAAGATAAGCCAGAAGACGAGACACACGAGGAGCACATTGAAGATGGAGGGGATAGCATACATGAGTGCATTCACGACTATCTGAAACACGGAGCACACTGTGGTCATACAAGATCACACAAGCCCAGTTTCTAGAATACTCTTTCTATATTTCTCTTGGCTGAAAACAGAAATGACATTATTCTAGATTATTAAACAGTTTTCAGTTGGAATTACATCAATCTCAATTTAAAACCACCACACATACATAAAAATCATTCATGCCATCTAATCCCTCAAGATGCATTTTAATATTGTCCTCTCTTCCACACATAAATTTTTTAAGTGGTCTTCCTCCCAAGTTTTTGAATCAAAACTCTGTTAGCATTTTCCAGCTCTCCCATATGTATTACATGGCCTGCTCATCACATATTCTCTGATTTGATTATCATAACAAAATCTGGCGAAGGCTACAAACTATCAAGCTCCTTTTCCTTCGTCCTTGTTTAAAAGAAGAAACCACAATGTTTCGGAAACTGGCTCTGTTTCCGTTTTCAGGCGAGAGGTACCTAATCAGTTGGGTCCGTCAGATAGAGCTAGTCAGGGTTTCTTCTTTTAAACAAGGGTGATGGAAAAAGTCCAGACTATGAATAATTTTAAGTGTAATCCACCATCATCAGAACACTTTAAAATTGAATTATGAAGATCCTCATTATGCATTTCTCCAGCCTCCTGCACTGTCTTCCATCTCAGATCCAAATATTGTCCTCAGTATATTCAATCAAAAGAACAGGTAAAATTATAAATTAATTTTAAAATACATATACTACACAGGAAGACAAAATATTCTGAACTGCACGGAAGCATGCATTTCCTGAATTTAATATGCTCTTCTCTGTGAAAGCAATTTCAATTTGTTTACAGCCATTTCAAAATATCTGATCTTTCACACATTTCTTAAGGATTTATTAGCCATATTTACACTGCAGTTTTGAAAGGGATAATTGAGAGGTAAGGTTGACTGCTAAAGTACATGCAGACAGTGGACAGCCCACTGCATGGCGCAGAATTCCGAAAGAGAACTGGAGGGTGAGGAAATGTAAATGAATTATCTGCAGTGCCGTGCAGACTCACCCTCATGCCCTGCCATCTGGAAATGGCTCTAAGAGGTCGCAAGGCTCGGAGAGTCCGAAGGGACCGCAGGACCTTCAAGTTCTCATTCTCCTCGATAAGCAGACTAAATATGGAGACCTAGACAAAACACATATAGCACAGTGCTCAGCTCTAGACTATATGATCTCTGCCTCCATGCCCCCCATGTGCTTGGTGAGCAGTTACAGACATAGTTATTCCTTTCTCCTTACACTAAAGTATTAATACCATTATAATCAAAGCAATTGTATTTATAATATGTGTGCAAGATCATGTCTGAGCACACCAATGTATTGAAAATACATTCAAATTGATGGATGAAGCTTTCTTTTGGAAAGACTAATTTCTCAGCTGCAAATAAGAGTTACAATTGAGTGAGAAGCGGCATTTCTAAACACCAGAAGACAGCAATTATTTAAAACATTTACACTCAAATGAGTCAAATACTATATTTATCTATTCATGCATACTTCAAACTCCAGAATACTTAGAGAAACAATAAGAACAGTTATCAGCATTTCTCTTTGCTTTCTGTTTCTGTCAGTCCTCACTGTGATCTCATCTAAAGTTCTTCTGTAACTTACAAACACGATGATGAAGTCGAGGATTGTCCAGAAGCTGGTGAAGTACCTCCAAAAGCCGAGCGCCAGCCACTTGAGCATCATCTCTATACTAAAGAGGGCACAGAATCCCAAATTGGTCCAGTAAAGAACTTTTTTGAGCACAATGTTCTCATCCAGGTAGATATCTTCAAAGCAGAGAGTGATGCTTGACGCAAAGATCAGGACAAGAATAAACCATTCGAACACTGGGGTGTCTACCACAGAGAGGACCTGTGTACGAATGTGAGTCCAGCGCTGGCCACAGGGTGTGTCCAAGTAGCGGTCACAGCACATACACCTGTAAATATGAAAGACATGACATGATGTGACAGGCCAAGGCAGGCATTAAGACTGGCTACTCAGAGGACAGGGAAGAGGACCCTATCCAGCGTGAGTGGAGCTACTCACTTATTCCTCACCACATCAGCTGTTAAGCCACAGTGATGACGTTGCTTACCGTTGGTAGCAATGCTGTGGAAAGCAGTCCTGTGGCGCTTTAACAGACTTATTGCGGCCAAATCCTGGGAAGCTGCCCATTCCATCCACATAATGGCCCTGAGAATCCCTCCGCCCCCCAACAGTCAGCTCATCAACGTATGAAGCGAGGGCTTGCCAGGGCTGTTTGGAGCCACTGATGTGCTTTTCTACGCTAGGTAACATTGTCTCTGTTTCTCCTGGGGGCTTATCCAGTGTCTCCAGCTCCAAACTCTCCTCAGCATTGGACTCATCTGAAAAACATTGCTTGAGCAGTTACTCAGCAGTCTGACATTTAGAACACAGACAGTCCTCTCTTTGAAAATGTGGATACTATAACCCCCATTCCATTCACAGGCAAATATAAATGTGTGGAAATTTTAGGGAATTGTTATAAATGATAAGGCTGACAGATAAATAAAATATTGATTAAAAGTTACTATCCTGAACAAGTGGCCACACAGCTTGAAATTGGAGAGTGAAAATCTCACCTTTGCTTTCTGTATGATGAGTAGTGACAGACAACTGCCTGTCTACCAAAGGCCTCAGAATGTTGTCCTCCTGGTATGATGATACATCTTTCTTCATGGTGCCTTGATTAGACGCCGAACAGTGCTTGTCATCTTTGGACTCATGAACGTTGTTCAGCACTGACTTCAGTAGCACAAGAGAATACCGTTTGTCCTCTGCGTGCTTATTCAAGGCCTCATGACAACTCACTGAGTACATCCGTTCCTCCAGTTCTCCCATCACTATACTGTTCACTACCCGCGGGAATGTTGGAGAGAGTCGGCCGTGTTCTAACTGACTGTTCCTGTTCTCCTCCACTTCCTG